GCAGCCTGTCCCTCATTGCCATCTGGCTCAGCCCTGCTCCAGCACCATAAGGTGAACTTAACTGTTAGCAGTAGGAAATAGTGCTCTATATTTGTCACAATGTACTAGCACAGGCCCAGAAGTCAACTACTTGACATTCCAGAAAACATTCTCATGGCAGTGAGTTAAACTTCATGGAATGTCTTTTTCCAATGGGTGATAAAATCCTTTAGCAATGGTTACCTTTTGTGGAAGAAAATCTTGTTAAAAAACAAGTAGCTCCAGGAAGGCTTGGAGTAGACAACCAATCTCTCAATGCAGCAGCATTCTGATTGAGTTCTGTAGTCAGTCTCCTCTCCCACTGTCTTTAGCAATATGTTAGACTCCTTTTAGTTTCCTAGCCTCTTCGTTCCCTACCTCCCCTTACCTGTTACTTCATAAAAAAGTAGAAGCATCAACTTCCTCAACTTCCCCCCACCCAACCTTCATGAGACCTGCCTCCACATCCATGATGTGTTGTGCTCAGTCCTTGCTTATCTGTCCCTCTTACAGCCAGACTTCTCTGACAGATCTTTGCATATGCTCTATTTGCTTACCTGTTAGTCCTTCATCCCCCAAACTACATTCTATTGTCATGGCACTGTAACAGCTTTTGCTGAAGTAAACAAAGACCCACTTTGTAAGTATTCTTCAGTCTGTTCAGCAAATGGTTGTCACATTTTTATCTACAGTTCAGATTTTCATTTGGCTCCCAAGTACTATTCATGTGAAATTTCCACCAGAATATTTCAAAGTATCTTAGAGATCGTTTGTAGCACTTTCCTCTCTCTTATACTTAATCCATTACCAATTCCAGCAGATTTTTCCACTTAAATATTTATTGAATCTATTTCCTTCCATATCTGTCATCATGGGCCTGACCCTAAGATAACATCATCTTTTTCCATGATGATCAGAGCAGCCTCTTGGTCTTCTCATTTCTAGTATTATCCTCCAATCAGTTGTTACAATACAATCAGAGAGATTTTTTTAAGAATGCAAACATGATCATTCCTGTTCTTTTTCTTTCTTCCAATTAGCTTTATGATAGATAACGTATTTCATACAGCCTTTGACTTCATCTGGCTCCCTGCTTACTTCTGCCACCTCCATTATGCTGCTATTCTGCTTATTCTTTTATTGTTTATTACTTCTTCCCACCACAGATCCTTTGCACATGAAGTTCTTCTGCCATCAATGACTTACTTCCTTCTTAGGTAATGCCTCTGATCTCAGATCTCAGTTCAAAGATCACTTTTCTAGGTTGTCTTTTCTCATTTCTCAGCCCTGAACCATAAGCTGTCATTTTGAGTTGTGTACTTTTATTTTTAGCACCTGTTAGTGTTTGTAATTATTTGTGTGAATGTTTGATTAATTTCTGCCACTTTGTTAGGATGGAAGTCTTACGTGAAGTATAGCTATTTAGTTTGCCATTGTCTACCCATTGTACCCAATATCTGGCACATAGTAAAGACTGTTACTAGGTATTTGCCAAATATAGGAATACATATACTTCAGTGCATTTAATCATTATAATAATTCTAAAAGTAAGTAGTCATCATTCCTATTTTATGTAAGTAAGAATTGAGGCTCTAACATTAAATAACTGATACCACACAGGCTAAGTAAATAGCGAACCTGGGAATCATTTTTGTTTTTTGTACTCCATTAAGTTTCATGGTAACTTTTAGGTACACATTATGATCACATTCATCATGGGCATCGCTTTTCTATTTCATTTTTATTGTATTGCTTTATAAGGATGTGTTTTAAAGGATCTTAATTAGACTAAGAATTTTGTTTCAGAATTTTACTATCAAGTTAAATAATTTCTGGGTGAAGGTAGGGCAGGGAGAAGGGGAGAAAATGAGAACCAAGACCTGTCATGTAAAGGTACAAGATCCCAATGATGAATGTAACTGTACTGATACCTAAAATGTACCAATAAACTCAACGAGGAAAAATAAAAAGTTAAATAATTTCTCTTTTTTTTTGGTACCAGGGATTGAACTTGGGACCTTGTAATTGTGAGGCAGGTGGTGGCACCACTGAGCTAAATCCCTGGACCTAAATTAAATAACTTCTTATTTGTGATGTTAATCATATGTAGGGCTTAATTGAAACAAAACAAAATGACACAAAAATACTCTTCATTTTGAACAAACTGAGAATGTGAAAACATATTTTGAAACAGATATTTTTTGGTCATTAAAATAATGACATTCCAATATGCGTGATAGTGTTAAAAAAGCAGACTAGAAATTTAAGTGCAGTAAGATAATTATGCAAAAGCGAACACAAAGAAAGTAGAAAGAAGTTACTGCCTATTCTTCTGTGTGAAAACATCATGGTTATTTTATTTTTCCCTTGTATTTTTGTGTACTTGCTCAATTTTCTATATCAATAAGATACTGTTTATTTTAAAGTTCTCATTTAAGATATATTTATTACAAAAACTCATAATATTATCCTAATCTTTATAAAATCTGTTTGGTGCTCTTTAGTCTGATTCTATTTTGATGGCTCACCTGCTGTCAAGTCTTTACTTTCTGATTTGTGGTCATTAATTAGTTATGCCTACATTAAATATTTAATTGTTATATTGGTCAAGATATGTTTTATGGTAGGGTGGTGTCTGAAGGAATAAACAGATATTTATTAATTTATTAATAAGATATGATCCATCCACAAAACGTTAATATGTTGGACATGTCACTGATCCAAAATGTTGAAGACTTTCTTTGCATTATACTTGTTGACATGTATGGTTAGTTCATATTTACTTATTCACATCCCTCTCATCCCCATAAAAATGCAAATAAAGCACCTGTGAAACTTTGTAGTTATCAGTGGCTCATTGAGATACCTCAGCTCAAAATCCTTTGTAATTCATTCCCTTCCTGTAGTTTAAGAAACCTGGATGCTTTTGTTTATCACACTAATTTTGCTTTGTCCTTGTGAACAAGGGAAAAAGCTTAAAATAGTTCACATGATCTCCTTTTAATAGCATTCCTTACCAAATCCAACAACAATGAGAAAAGAACAAAACTTTAGTTTTTACATGAGATCATTTTAGGCACAATTCTGTTATTGGGAAGTAATCATTTGAATGATTGCTTAGTACCTATCAATCATTTATCAATTGCCTAATGGTTTTAAAATATCATGTTAGAACTGGTAGGATTACTAGGAGAGAAAACAAACACAGTCTCCCAGTACTGTACAAGAGAACTTTCAGTTACGAGAGAAATGCTCTATCTACATGCTGTAAAGTACAGTAGCTGCCAGTAACATGTTGCTATTGAATGATTGACACATACCTATGTGACTATGGATATAAATTGTTAATTTAAAAGTATTTTTATTGAGAAAGAATTCATGTGCCATATATTTCCACCATTTAAAAGGTGTCATTCAGTGCTTTTTAGTGTATACAGTTGTACAACCATACCACAATCAATATTTGAACATTTTTATTGCCCTAACAAGATCTGGTGCTAATTAGCACCCACACCCTATTTCCCTTCAACTTCTCCAGTCCTGTGCAGACACTATTTGTTTTTCTGCCTCCATTGATTTATCTATTTTGGATTTCTCATATTAATAGAATCACAATGTGTAGCCTTTTTGTGATTGGCTGATTTAATTTTCATTAATGTAAATTTAACAGCCACATGAGGCTAGGAATGTCATAGGAAAAAAGTGAAGCAGAATGACCAAAGATAGATGCTTAGGGAATGCCGAGGCCAAGGAGAAGAAAGCTCTACTGATTGGGCATATGAGGAATAGGTCAGAAAGACAGGCAAAACAGATCCTAGATGTAAGACAGTATCCTGAGAGAGTGATAGCTAACAGTAGCAATTAGTGTCAAAGCAAGAGGAGTCAAAGCAAGTTTAGCTTCATTACAGTGATAGAAGAAAACTGAAGACAGAGGTCATTGAGGTGTGGTACTGCTGAGTGAGTGTTGGTACATGCCAGTTTTTATGTCAATTAAAGATAGTGGGAAGGAAAAAAAAAATCGACACAGCTTGAAAAGGATGTCAACGATTGATGAAAATTTTTTTGTTAATGATATTTTCAGTGAAGGCTTGAGCATAAATCTCAGCAGAAGGTATGCAGTTAGTGCAGTTAAGAGACTAAAAGTGATCAAGCATATGAGACTAAAAATGATCGAGGATATGACCAGCGTTATCACCAAGATCATGCAGAAGCAGGTAAAGAAGAAGGTGAAGATAACAAAGCAAGTTTCACATAGAAAGAAAGGAAAGTCAAAGAGCTGATTTACTTTGGGGAAGTAGGAATGAGGCTGTCTGAAAACAGTTTGGTTCTTGCACCTGTATCATGATCATATACCGAAAGGGGGAGGTAAAATGATCTCAAGTCGCCTTGGGTTGTGAGTGGTGGAGGCATCAGCCACTTACAGGGATATTGCTGTCTAGGTAAACTTGTCTCCAAAAATGGAGCAGACATTTTCAGGTACATGAAGCATATGAAGTCTAGAGGCTTATATCTAGGATCCTAAAAAAGAAATGTAGTTCCAATTATCCTTCCTTCTTTTTTTTCCTTTCTCTTTGTTTCCCTCCTTTCATCTTTTCCTTGTTTCTGTCCATTCTTACATTTTGTAGAAAACTGTGCTTTTTGCCCTACAAGGAAAATTGGAAATAAAATACAGAAATTTGAAAAATTCTGTATTCATACTATATTGGGTACATAATTTCACATTGTGAGTTATAACAAATAGTATTTCTATTATTTAGTCTTTTTTTTAAGTTACCAGAAAAGCTCAGAAGTACTTTGAAAATCATAAATGAAAAAAAATCTATGCAAACATATGAGAAAAATACTAATTAGTTGCTATTGAATTAATTAATAACATTTCTTTAGAACAAGCTTTCTGTGTAGATGTCTTAGAAATTAAAGCCAACTTCTTCATGATCATTTTGACATATAAACATGTATTTGCATTTATATTTTTCTTTTAGGCTTTTAAAACCAAGGATGGCTATCTTGTGGTTGGAGCAGGAAATAACCAACAGTTTGCTACTATGTGCAAGGTAATCCATAATTCCTTGAGAGAATGGATAATACATGCAACAATTCAATATGCACAAAGTCAGGGAAATTTTGGTTTTCCAAGCACAATAATGCTAACTCATAACTGACTTAGGAGCCCCTCTGTTAGTACCATTTTCAGGATATTAGAAATGGTAAGGGCTAAGTTTAAATTATATATCTTCTAGTTGTATTTTGAAATGAAGAATTAAAATAGCTTAAAATTTTCTCATACTTGACCTGTCTATTAAACAAAATACAAAAGGAAAGAAAATAAAATTAATTTTACAGAGATTTTTTTTTATTTTTTATTAAAGATTGCAAACATACATGACAATAAGAAGTGAAGATACTAAATAAAAATATCAAATATACATATATATGACAGCAAAAAAGGATATGAAATAAACAAAAATTTATGCAACTCAGACTGATAATCCAAATACATTATTAGTTTGATATGATCTTCAAACATTATATGTTCTTTCTCATTTTCTTTTCATATAATATTTTTGAAATAATGTATTTACAAATTAAAACAAAGTTACAAATTATAGTTGAGAAACTGTCCTCAAAATTTTATGATTTATAAACTCCTTGGTTTTATTAATTTGATAAATATCATATGCTTGCTGATTGTATCACTTACCTTTTCTAACAAAACTTCCCACAGAAAAGAAATATACATTTGAAATCCAAAAACAACTAAAAGAGTTCACATTTTTAAGATCAGATTTTTCTGTTTCTATTTTATTATATCCCATACTTATATTTGTTATATTTTTATAAGCATAATGATAGAATATAACTCCAGTACATATGTAATATTCTTCCCAAACAAATGACTATGAATTAATTCAAGCATGTAATTAGGGAAATCATAAGGTTGCCAGAGAGGCTAGCAATATGCCAAATGTGCAAAATCCTACCACATTCATAACCATGTTTCTCATTTAATAGTGCACACATATGTGTAAAAACATACCCCCCACACATATACACAATGCATATTTTCTACAATACAATATATACTTTGGTGTAACAAAACAGTGCAGTGATGTGTGGAATGTTTGTGATTTGTTTGATTTGAGAAAAACAAATATCATCTTTGAGGCAGTTGGAGAATTTGTAATATGTACCAGATACTGAGTGATATTAGTGATTTCTTATCCATTTATTTAAGTATAATTATGATAAAATTTACTTGAAAATTAATATTCATTATCAGTAGAAAATAGGTACAAAGATATATTGATAACATAACAAAATTTGTCTTAACAAATTTCCAACCAAACAAGCTGTAGTGACAGAAAAGGAAGTTTGCAGAAGACAGAGACGAGAGAGGAGAATGACAGATGGACCTTAATACTTTTCATACTACTCAAATATACATATTTCTCAAATTCTCAAATAAAAAAGCAAAGACAATGAGAATAAAAATAACTCATCAATTTGGTAGACCAACATACAAAGGCAAAGATTAATGTGTTGATAAATTTTTAAAATATGAAATGTAAAGCCTGAGATTTAGCTCAGTAGTGCTGCACCTGCCTACCAGAACAATGTGCTGAGCTTAATCCCCAGCACCAGGGAAAGAAAAAGAAAAAAGAAAAGGAGCATATGTGCTTTCTAACGTACTCAATAGATTGAAAATAATTTTTTTATCTCTTCCTCTTGAATTGTTCCCTTCACAAGGATGTAGTGGCCTTCTTTGTCTCTTCCAATCAGTTTAGGTTTGAAATTTACTTTGTCTGTGAATAGGATTGCTACCCCTGTGTTTTTCTGGGCTCCTGTTGTGTGAAGAAGTTTTCCATCCTTTCACTTTCAGTCTATGGGCTTCTTTTTTCACTAGGTGTGTCTTGTATATAACAAATTATTCTATTTCACTTCTTAATCCATTCTGCCAGTCTATTTCTCTTGATTGGTGAATTGAGGCCATTGATATTGATGGTTATAACTGATATGTACTAACAGTATTGTCATGTTCTTTTCGCCTTCTCCTTTTAGTTTCTTACCTTGCCTATTTGATTTGCTCTGTTGGGCCTCATTGTTTTGTGTCTTTTTCTAGAATATTGTTTAGAATTTCTTGTAGTGCTGGTTTGGTATTCATGAAGTTTCTCAGGTGTTCTTTATCATGGAAGTATCTTATTTCCCCATCCATTTTGAAAGAAAGTTTTGCAGGATATATCAGTCTAGGTTGGAGGTTGTTTTCTTTTAATACTTGAAAGGTCTCATTCCAGGCTCTCCTTAACCGAAAGGTTTGTGTTGAAAAGTCTGCTGTGATTCTGATGGGCTTTCCTTTGCATGTGATTTGTTTCTTATCTCTTACTGCTTGTAGTATTTTGTTCTTCTGTTGGGTTTCTGGGAGCTTGATTATTATATGTCTAGCTGTAGATTTTTTTGATCATGGCTAGTTGGTGTCCTACATGCCTCACTTATCTGTATGTCAAATTCTTCCCCTCTGTTTGGGATGTTTTCTAGAATTAATTCTGTGAACAGCTTTTTTAAGTCATTTGCATTTTCTCCTGCTACTTCATGGATTCCTATCAGTCTTATGTTATTCTTCTTTGCATCATATAAGAGTTGTTGAATCAGTTTCTCGTGATCCCCTACTGTTTTTAAGAGACCTCTCTTTTCATGGTCACTGATTGTAATTTTATCTTCTATATTCGAGATTCTATCTTCAGACTCTTTTATTCTGTTGTGAATACTCTAATTGGGGGTTTTAATCTCCTGGATATCTGCTCAAATCTACCCTGTTTATTCCATTTCTTTCTTATATTGGGCATTTATTTTTTCCAATTCTTTCTTATGCTGGGCATTCATGGCTTCTATAGTGTTCCTGAACTCTTCTATTTTCCTCTCTTTTTCTGTTCTAAAGTCTCGAATTATAACTTTCATTTTGCTTGCCATCTCTATGAGTATCTAGGAAATTACTTGTTTTAAATTTCTCTAGAGCCTGATTGATCAGTTTTGTTACTTCCTGTGCTTTGAGTTCAGGGTGTCCTGATGGTTCACTGTAAGACTTTTCATCCTTATTAGCCCCACTGTTTGCCATTGGTGAACTGGAAGTCTGTCCCTGTATCTTGCTTAAGCATTTTCTCATTTTTACTATTTTTGTTGGGCTGTCCTTAGTTTAACCTTCATGTTATTACTTAAATCTTCCTGATATATTTGGGCTTCAGCCCATGGGTCTCTAATGACTCATAGACATTCTCATTTTCATAGTAATGAAGAAAACAGCTCATTGAATCAATCACAATCCTTTATCTAATTGATATAATCAGCACCACAATATGATCAAGCACAACTTGTAAATTGACCACTTGTCACAGTCATCAATCTATCCTTCAAACCATGTGAATTAAATTAAAATCAAGAAGCAATCCAAAATATATTTGAAGTGATTAAACTTTTCAATAAGTATATTTACCATTTAGGATGGGGGCTTAAGACAGAGGTAGGACAAGAACAGTAGATAAGTGAAAGTATTAGAGAAGGTTTCACATGAAGCCAGAAAACATAGAATGACCACACAATTGTCAGGAAACTGTTAAATTCAAAAGGGATAAACAGAATAGAAGTATAATAAGCCTTGAGTGAAGTAGAATGACATAAGAAAGGAACATAAAGAAAAGAGAATAATAATAATAAAAGAAGAAATCTGAGGAGAGGAGCAGAAACAAAATGGGAGATGAGGGATAATATGGTGGAGCGAGAGACTGCGTTGGATAAAGAGGACAGGAAAAAAAAGAATTTGCAGAGTGGAATGAGAAAAAGAAAGAAAAAACTGAGTTTGAAGGGCCTCTTTCAGACTATATCACTGCTGTCATAATATACAACATGCACTGCCATGTGCAGAGCCAAGTCCCCTGATCTCAGCTAGCTGGTGGCAGAACCCCATGATGCAGACTGACCTTGGGCTACAAGGCCCAGACTGAGTTCCCCAACCTCCTGAAGGGCTGAACTGCACTCAGTTCTACTACAGGTTTTCCCTGCCCCTTTTTTAAAGATGTTCAAAGTTGGAAAATACCCTTTATGACCACCTCTCCCTCTACAGAGTAGGTCTAAAGACTAGCACAATCAGGAGGTCTGAAAGCACGAGGTGGGGGAGGGGGTTCAGGGGCACCTGTATGGCTACCTTGCTGGTGTTGAAGATGGCGGTGGCACCATCAGGGGAGGGCGTGGCCAAGCAGGCCCTCTGGAGCTGGAGATCTTAAAGAGATTTTTTAACACTGAGATTTTCCCCATTTCTTTCTTTTTCCTTTCTAAATTTCCTTTTTCTCCCCCTTCCTTCCTTCCTCCCTTCTTCCTTGCTTCCTTCCATCCCCTCTTTTATCCATATCAGGTTTATTTAGGCTCAGATATAGTTGCACTACTCCTGAATTTACTTTACTTACTGGTAGAAAATTTAAGACTTTGTTTTTGTAAGTTAACCTTTGTTTAATCTACATGAATTTATGTTAAAATAGTTGAGAAATTCAGGATATATTGAAAATTATTGCTTCTTAAAAAGTCCTTTAAAAGGACTTGATCATTTAAATAGTTTGTATTATGGATATTTTAAATCTTTTATCATTTTTTGGATATTTTAAAAAACATTTATTTTTCCCAGTTTTAGTCCCAGAAATATAACCTAATTTTAAAAAACATACTAACCTTTTTGTATTTATTTTTCTTGCATGTTGACAGTGGCCTCACTTATGAAATTTTTTTCTTATTGGGAGAGGATTCTTTGTTTTTTTATTAACCATGTCAACATGAGCTTTCAATTTTATTAAAGATTTCTGTGAATTTCTTAGAGGAATTTTATTATTGTAGTTAACTCATTGTGTATAGAAATTATTTATTACTGCACCTCCTTTGTAGAAAGGTTATGGAGCAGAGCTAAAACCCACAGCAAAGGGGTGAGAAGGAGCACAAAGGTGACGAATGGAGACAGTTCTGATGCAGAAAGGGCTGGCACGTCTGAGGTGGAGAGGAGGCGAGCTTTTATAACAGT